GGCACTCGTAGAAAAACACGTTTTGTTTTGTTTTCTTTTTGTAGGTGACGGATTTACGGTAGATTTCTGGATGAAGCAGCATTCATGAACTTCATTTGATATCGTCTATTAGTTTCACTTTTCTTCTTATTACAAATACTCTTTATTAGCTCTTCTTCATTCCCTTCATCACCTTATACCTGTGTTAGTCTTCTCTACTTTAATAAAATTTCCAATCTCCCCAATTTGATATTAAATAATCAATTTTATGACATTGTTGCTTTTATAAAGATTTGTTTAAGGAATCATTTTCTAGTTAGTATAGTATGCCAGGGCATCAACAATAGTGGGAAACATGCCATAATTTGCATAAGGGTATTCATAAATTATCCCATGTTTCCAACTATTGTTGATGTTCCTTGCATACTATCCTAACTAGACAGTGATTCCTTATATTTCCATTTCATTGAGAAATAAAATTGTAGATTTAGACTTTAAAAATGCAGACATAGATTTAAATTACAAGAGGATTCCCATCCCAATTTCAATAGGCCTCGCCCACTGACTTCATGCAAACACAACGGCAGCCGCACGAGATTTGCATGCATATTAGGCCTCCTTAGCTCCTATTGACCGCCCTGCCTAATTTATCTTAATAAATGCATCCACAGTCTTATTATCTGGCAAGTCATGAAACTTTGCCCATTGAAAAAAAATTAGTCAACCATGCAATAACATTCTGAGTACCGTCCCCTTTAAATTTTAAGTTATTAGAATAAACCCTAAACCTGACCTCGTCCAAACTCTGTTTGTTTCCTGGATGTCCCACAAGATTGTAAAAAGAATGTCTTTGTTCGTCAAACGAGAAATCGGCACTGGGGTTCGAAAGCACAGGGTCCGGCGCAGAACTATCGCCGTTATCCAAAATATCCAAGTGTTCGTTTCGCTGGCCACTAAGGGATGGGCTAGTAGTAGTCGGGAAAGTTCGGTTAGCCCGAGAGTTTTTTGTCCTTTTAGGCTGGTGCACTGGACTCGCGATGGGCTGGTGCACTGGACTTGTGGAAGGCTGGTGCACTGGATTCGCGATGGGCTGCTGCACTGGATTTGCGATTCTCGGAATATTATCGAAATGTGTGAGTCCTATTTTATTTAATTTTATTGGTTCTGCCCAGGGAGTGTCAGGTCTGGTCTTGTTTCGTCTCTGCTCCTCGTCTCGTCTCTGGTCCCAAATACCAGTTGGATTGTTTACTAATACTTGACTGGGGGGCGACCTAGAGAAGTTTAGGTTCTGGACCTCGTCTTGTTTCTGGTCCTCGTCTCGTCTCTGGTCCTCGTCTCGTCTCTGCTCCTCGTCTCGTCTCTGGTCCCATATACCAGTTGGATTGTTTACTAATCCTCGACTGGGGGGCGACCTAGAGAAGTTTAGGTTCTGGTCCTCGTCTCGTTTCTAATCCTCGTCTCTGGTCCCAAATACCAGTTGGATCGTTGGCTAATCTCCGACTGGGGGGCGACCTCGAGAAGTAGAGGTTATCGTCTGGAAATATCCAAGAGGCGTTATTAATCCTTTGGTTCCAGTTTTGAGGGTAGTTGTTAAAGGAATTGTTAAAAGTAGTCGAGTCTGATGTTTCTGCAGTTTTTATATCGTCGCTATGTAAATGCGGTTGTGATTTGTCACTAATGTCGGGAATATAAAAATCGTCTTTTAGATATAAATTAGTTTCCAAATCTTGGAGTTCTCGTTCCTCCTTTCTGAGCGTAAATTCGTCGGGATGTTACTTAGCGACCGATCCAGGAGAAATTACACTAGGCTGATAAGTATCCGGATTAAATAAAATTTCACTGTTGTCCAAATCTGGCTGCACAAATTTCTTTCGGCGAAATAACGGCACATTCGCAACTGCTCGTCTCAAACGCTGCAATGGTGTTTCAGTCTTTGGTGTTTGCAAATTTTCCATAAATTTGTGACACAATCGGATTCTCTACCACTTATTATAACCGGGTCAACCTCATTCCGGACTCCAGCCTATGATGACTGTTTATCACACCTCAACCATCGAAGTTTGAGGAGGCAGAGTCCCAAATGACATTGGACCGATCATAAGTTTGTTCATTTACACCCGGGATCTTGTTTATTTCAGTGAGAGGACACACCAAGTGGAATAACTCTTATAATCCTTGAGCTGGGTCGGAATAACTCAATTAAGCTTTTTGAATTTTATTATATCATTCTTTGGTGTTCCAATAGGCAGTTCCTTTTACCCTGAGGACTTTTCCTGACCAGAGCGGCTCACAGGCTCTAGTTCCCAACCTGTATAAAATGAAGCAGAGACAGACACAATCCAGCTCTTGTCTTTTATTTAAAGAAACAATCCGTTTATTTTATAATTACAATAAATAATTTTACACACAATACTAAACATTATAATAAAGATTACTGTGTTACAATATAAACTATTTAAACCTGAAAATAAAATAAACCATCTGAAAACTTAATAATTTTACAAAATCGCGCAAGTCTGCCAAATCATCTTACTTGTATAAAATGAAGCAGAGACGGACACAATCCAGCTTTTGTCTGGCGTATGTCCGTCGTCCGCTCATTTTATACCTCAACTCTTACTCCGTTTTTCATCTCCATATTTGGATCGCCTTCAAAATTTTCAATAATTACTTTAACTTCAAATTTGAGTTTTTAACTATCATTACTTTGTTCTCCAACACTCTTAGTTTACTTATGCATTTTAAAAATTACTTTCTGTCTCTTGCAAATTCTTTTAATTTCACTTGCTGTATTTATTTATTCGAACAACTGACCCCTGGTCACTCAAATGTTATTGGTCGCTCCTTCCTCCTAACCAAATACATCTTTTCATAAACAAGAAAAACTGCATTCCAATGATTCATTTCTTGGAACCGTCCGGGTTAAAGTTCAATTCTTAGTGGTTCGCATCTTGAATTGCTTTTATCTGTTCGCGCCCATATGTGCTATCTCTATATGCCGAATAGTGCAAATCCATAAAATATGTTACATTCTTATTTTATTGCAATTTTTGTTATGATAACTGTATCCATTTTGAACTCATTGAAACTTGTTATATAAAAAGAAGGTTTTAAATCTGTAATCTGTTATAAAACAAATGGGAATATAATTATGTATGCTATAAGCATTGGTCGTAATTTTGAGAATTTATTTGATAGCTCACAAAGAGTTATCTCTCGCTTGAAACTCATGCGAAAGAGGACAGAAATAATTTGTAGTCGATAATATGGCGGTGAAATTCCCTCTGCTCAGAGTATTCGAGATAACTGTGTGAAGCGTTGCTTCTTTTTTTTTTAGAAATGAATATTATGTCTGATCATGTTGTGAGGAAATTTTATATGGTAAATAGAAAGATCAAGAATTTTTATCTCACAATAAAATCAAAAATATAAGGCATATATGAAAATAATATTTACTATCAAACCTATCTAATTCTCATTAGAAAACATAATGAAGCTTGCTTTTTAATCAGAATACCAAAATGTTTTCTGTTCTTGTAAGATAGTATGCATCTATAAACAAGCGTTATCTTTCCATTATCGCCCTTGATATTTTTTTAGTAAAACAAAACATTAAATAAATGATTATAAACAATTCTGCATCTGAAAATTCTGTAACATTAAAAAGATTTATACGTTTAAAGATAGAAATATTTCAATTTATACAGTTTAAAGGGACTGAGTATACATGCTTTAGATAAAGTATATTATAAATAATTAATGAAAATATTTGACATATAACCTTGAAATCAATATCTGTACAGTACAAAAAATCTGTTTGAACTGACTATTAAATGGTCCTAATTTATAAACTCTGTAAGTTCTGACAAAGACAATCCATTGAGTTTCATGGTACAATGTCATCAGATAGTTATTTCTCTTATCAGAGGGATATTACACCATAACAATTGCATACAGAACTTCAGTTTGAATACATCTATTCAAGCCATTCTTGTAGTATCATTCGGCAAGGATAAGATAAAGGGATTGATTGTAATGATTGAGGCTAGGAAAATTATTAAAATCAAGATATCACATCATTTTATAATTAACTAATGTATTCATAACTGAATTTAATTATTCATTTTGATTGAATCATATCTCTTTTACAGAGCTTAATTGGCATGATAATGTAAATTTTTTTTATCAGCTTTGAACTGTAGTGACTATAGGTTGAAGCATTTATTTTGATTTGGTTGCAAAATCACATGTCATCATCATGATTATCCATCCATTTCCATAAACTTCACCAACCATGCATATCAAATCAATTTATACCCATCTGCTGCAGTGGCAAGGGAGTGTGTATTATAATATGATAGAGAATGGAGTTTTCTGTATCTTTCTGCATTATTAATGCATGTAATATTATAGCCATTGCATTCCAGTATTGCTCATTATTACATACTGCGGTTGTGACCGGTTGGCAGGGGATCTTCATTTCCCAGTGACACCTAATCCTACCTCTGATGTTTTGCAGTTCCGTGTTTGCTCTGCACCTATTTTGCATTGTTTAATGGACTTTTGAACTTGAATACTGTTCGTTATCTTGACATATTACATTAAGTAATCTGCTATCATACAATGATCTAGTATTATATGCTGGTGGTGATTTCCCTTCCAAAGTCTATTGTGATCAATTTGTTTGAGTTTACATGTCACATTTGCAATTTCTGATATTGTCTGCATCATTATCTTTTGATAACGCGTGCCATGAGATTTCTTTTTGAAGAATGCAAACTGCAGTGAATTATCATTAGAAAAAATCCTTTATAATTCTGAATAAAACCAATATTCTCAGAATAAGAGTACAAAATATTTTGTAAATAATGCTAGACAGTCTTACATAAATGGTTTTTACTAGGGAGTTTAATTGTTCAAACTGTCAAAAAACATAAAGAAAAATGAACAATATCATTTATTAAAAGTGCAGTGCAATATTAAGCACGCAAGAAGAAAATCACACTCACAGGGTCTGAATATGTTACATAAAATATAATAATACCTGATTTAAAAAATGACCATAAAATGAAAATTTCTTTAAAACAAATGCAGCAGACAAACGGGTTAGATATCGGTGGTCAGATTCTTCGGTAGGTAGAGTACATGACTGGAAATCCAGGAGGCACGGGACCGATCCCGTCTGACCTCCACATTCCTCCTTTTTAAAAGGACTTAAACCTCCGATGACACTAAGCAAGGCTCTTCCCTGGGAAGTCTTTCATCTGTCACCCTGGGCTAGCAGGTGAAAGTCACGCAAATGTCAAATAAGAACTTGGGGTGGGTCTTCAAGGATGAAAACAGCTTTAGGAGAGAGAAATGCAACGTTAATGCAGCAGTAGTCCCGGATTTGATTCCCACAGACTCTCTTGTACTATAAAGCGGGGCAATCAAAACATCATTAGAGAAATTGAACAAGGGGGAGCACATCTGAACAAAATGGGCAATAACATCTGTTTACTCTTATGTTAGCTTTCACATATTATGAAATAACGCGTTGCAATTCAAAAATATGTTCCAGGTGAATATAAACTGGCAGTTAAAACCTGTAAATCTTACATAAATCATTACTTGTAACCTTTCATTTTTATAAAATGCTCTTTACACAACCGCTCCAATAACCTCCATTTCACATAAGACAATATGACAGTTGCTATCTGTTGATTTTAGTTGCAGTTGGACATAACGACCAAGTAGGCAGTCTTTGCAGATGATAGTTTCATCTCTTTCTTGTGAGCCTTCTCCACATGACATCATGTCGTTCCATGTCGTCTTTGCTCCAACTCGGACCTCATATGTCTGACATGGTTCATCCCAAAACCAACCTATAATTAAAATTTGATCCCCAGCACTGCAATAATATTGAGGTATTTTTCTTGCATTTTTCAGAAAAAGGATACTTAACACTATCCACAAAAATTTATAGAATTTAAGTAGTAACACTGAATTGCAAGAAATACGATCAGTGCTAAAGTCAGTCATTAAACAAATTATATAAATGCTGGTTGATTCAATTCAAGGACCCTGAAGACAAACCAACTTAATGTCATTTTTTGGTCATCTGTCTGCCCAACAGTAATACATGTAATCTATCATACTCTGCATCTACATAACAAAAAAATTAACATTTTGCTGCGCGTTTGCATTGCTTGTCACATGTGTATTTAAAACAAATGTCAAGTTTTCATGACTTAAATTATTTTGTTAAAAGTAAAACCAGTAAACTCATATTTTGTCTTTCAAATTCAAAATGTAAATGAAGAGAATGTTGTATATGTTTTAAACATACAGCCTTGGTTTCATATGGCAAATAACCGAGCTGTATTGTCTAAATATATTTACTTAACTGATTTCTCTTTAATATCTCTTTGAAGGTTAGATTTATGATTTCTTCATTTTTTTCAACTGAATGTAAGGAATAACTGCACTCAAGCTATGAGAGTTTGATCCCGATGTTTTGCGCAAAATAAAATTCCAAAATTCATAAAATTTATGTTTTATTGGTATTAAACTATGTTTAAATAGCAGGTTTTGGTATATTTTATTACATGAAATTATTAAATAATGCCGAGCGACACTAGCTTTTGAGACGGGGGTCTAACAGTTTTGTCACATTTCTTTTGTTATTCATATGCATACTAGTTTTCAACATCATTGTTTACATAGAGCCGCAACTTGGCCATCAGTTTCATTTGCACAGAATATGTATTTTAATTTAAACTTATACATTTCCAAAGGACAATGCTGGTCAAGTTGCGGCTCATATCTAATTTTTAAAATAATGTCGCCAAACTAGGGTCGAGATAGCTACTAAACTAACCTGTCATCGAGCACCTTCGATTGATATTATAATCACCTTACTCATGTGACATTCTGCTGTTCGATGCGCTAACGCTTTCATTGAACATTTCATCGTGTTACAGTTTCTGTTGTGACAGTATCTATTGTACTTCCAACTTCAAACTATGGGAGATTGTTGCGCAAATTTTGGTAGGGTTTGAAGATAATATGTCTCTTATTCAACTTTATGCTTTTCATTTGGGTGTTTTGAAAGAATTCTGATATTGACAGTGTATAATTAGTATGTACATATATAGGCTTATGTCGCCTCTGTATTATGGTCTGCAGGGCGAGACATCTACCCCATCCCTAACCATTAGTATCATTTATTAATTGCACACCATCAAATCAACATGATCTCTCTCTTCTCCATTTAAATTCGTAGTGCGAAAAAATCATATGTACCAATGTTTGCATTCCACAATCATGCGATTAAAATCAACATGATCTCTTAAGGCTTTTACATGTTCTTTTCAATTACATTGTCTGTAATTATAGAAATGTGTATGACAAAAAATTCTAGAAGTAAATTTCAAAAGCGTACTGTAAACGTGGTTATATTGACGAGTTGAAGAATTGACGATTTTTTGTTCACGAAAATTGACAGGTGTTAATTTTAACGAAATATTTAATCAAGAGTTAAGTATCTTTGAATTCACGGGGATACAAAGACAGCGTCGGAGTCACTAGAATTTAATTTTTGTACAGACCATCTACAGTGTGTAAGATTGTACAAATTACCTAAGTGTGTAATATCTGATTAAATAAATTGCCCTCTTTAAATTTGTTTTCATAATAAGCGGTCAATTGCCCTGAGGTGACAAACTAGATCAAGCAAAGTGTGATAATTACGCTAAGTTACAATGCAGTATTTGATACACTAGTTTAGATTAAATGGTTTTTAAAAAAATGTGATTATACATCACTGTGTTTTCATAACTAATTACAAAAGAAATTAACAGTAACTTTGATATATTTTTAATAGGGGAAATCCGAGAAAATTAAGCGGTTATGTTGTACGATGGTCAATGTCTGTTGTGACGCTATATATATGATGTGAAATTTGACGAGTGTAAATTTTGACGAGAAAAGAAAAATCGTCAATATAGTCAAAATTAGCACATCGTCAAAATTTCCACGTTTACAGTATGCTTGCACATTAATCATAGATTAATTTAGCGATATATTGTAATGTTAAGCTTAAAATGGGTAGCTGAAAAGGTTCCATATGACGTTCTTAAGTGCACCCATTCTTTTAGAATACATTATATGCATGTCTATCTCCAAGGCTGTCATTGTGTCTGAAATTAGCATAAAATTTTGGCTGGAATGCTTCTTGTATTACAATTCTGTCATAAAACATTTAATTTATATTTACATTATTTTTTTTATTTTACAAATAAATGTGAATATTAGGAAGCAGTGTCTACTTTTTTGTGCAAACTAGAGATATTAAAAAGAGTTGGAATCATGAACAATGAATGAATAAAGGGCATTACCAGTTATTCAAATTTATCTAACGTTTCCAACTGAAAAGAGTTAATTCCTGACTTACCCAACAAACCAAATATTGACTACTTTAGTAATCATTAACAACACTCCTTATTAAATTCAGAATTAATGAAAAGGAATAGATTAAGATAGTAAAGATAATTATTTGCATAAAAAGCATCGAAGATTTAAAATTTCAAGGATTATCAATTCGCTCAACTAGGATGTATAACATTTAGTCATGGCCTTTTAACACTTTACAGCTGAATATCTACATTTATGCATTAAACTGAATTTTGAGGCTGTGTATAGTGCTTGTAAAACGAGGGTGCAAAATTGGCAGAACCGTAACTGTGAAAAGCATTCTGAAATGCAAAACTAATGCACAGTATAGTTTTGTACTTCTCAGAAACTTTAAGTTTATTATATTTACACCATCTGCTTCAAATCAGGTTTGTAAAAATATTCGTTGTTTTGTAACATACCTTTGAATACAAGAACATGATCAATTTGATAAGTATTGCCTAGATCTATCCTCAACCATGGAGTACTCTCTTTCTTTGTCGCGGCACAGTATGAATTTATTGCTATTTGGTCGCCATCAGTTAATCTCATTTGATTATAAGTCGCCAGGTCATCGCCATACACTGAACTGGAGACAACGGATTTGCTTTGTGCAAAGTTTCCATAGGCCGAACGGGTACCTTTACAAGAGGGAAAAATAAGAAAAATTTAAACCTTAAGGTATTATTGTTTTCAAATGTGCCATTTCTCGTTTGTCATAATATATTATTAAGTAATTTGAATTTAACAGTTGGCTCAATTTCCAAATTTCAACTCAAATTAACATATACACTATTCGATTTAATAAACGTTGTTTAAAATCTATTATTTAGCATAGATAAATATAGCTTCTATCAATTTGGAATTGAGCTTTTTTCTAAAATTAAATCTCTATCGAAATAATGTATATATGTTTGACAAAGAAGGATATGGAGATAACGAACAGTATTCAATCTCACTGATTTTTCAAATTTATAATTTTTACCTTCCTGCAAACAGAAACTTTGTCCTGATTGTGTTGTTACGTGTTCGCAAATAATTTCATTGCACTTTCCTGGTAATAATGTAGATTTCTGCAATAAGCGAAACATTATAATAGAAATCTTTTGACATTTTTTTCCATTCAAGGAAAAATATAGAATCAAATGAAGGTGAACAGTTTACGTTCCAAATATCGAAAGCTACATATTGATGTTTACAAAATGGTTTGTGTCGATATAGCAGTCAAGTGTAGAAATTCAACGTTTTAGTCTGTGTTTTCAAATTCTACTTTCACCCATTTCTATTATTACATACAATCCTATTTTTACTTCAGTGTCACAAATATCTTCGAGAAAATTTAATGCTGAGTAATTCAATGTTTATTAAAAATATCTTAATTTTCAACTTTATGCCAATATTTTCGTTAGTAACAATATATAACAAGTGAGAAAACTTTGTGTGTATTGAAATATAATGGAAATGAAAGATTGTTGTTAAATATTAGTTAATAATTAGAATAAGCTATAGACAGATTATTTAATCATTTGTCGATTTTATAAATATGATCCATTTTACTCTAATATTAAAAGAATCTGAATATCATCAACTCCCATAAGCCCCAATTTACTCATAAACCCGTATTCTGTTAGTAGAAAATCAGGTCAATGATCAAAGTCTTGAGATATCTGATATAAAATGGGTTTTTGTCTCAATTTTGATATTTTTTATTCAGAACATTGCAATAAGAAACTTTTCATAGTGAGTAAAATTATTTAAATTCTTATTTTTAATATCTTGATCCATTCGGAAAATAATTTCAATATCAAACTACAAAACAATGCACATCTTCAAAATATGCAATATAAAAAATAATTTTCTAACATTTAGACAGTTTGAGTTATTGTTAATTGTTAATCTGGTAAAAGGTTTTAAACAGAAATTAATTTTTTTCTCCTTCTAGCTGAAAATGATATCTTACTACTTAAACTTCATTACATTTAAACAATTGTTATAGGTTATGGATTTTTTTTTTTTAATTTCTTTTTTAAAAGGATACCAAAATTGTACTGATTTCCTCCCAGGCTTTTATTTATTACTGAATTCTACCTTTGCTGTTATTTTTGACTCGTTCATCTCGTTGAAAATAATGTGTTCAAATCCAGATTCTTCCAATAAAAACATGGAATTTGTTTCACTTGAAAACTGAATAAGTTCACATTTCAGCCGTGCGTTTTCAAAATTAACTGAAAGACAAGAGGGGTAATTACGGCATTTCTCTCTGCACATTTTTCTTCCCATTGGACTGAATGTCTTAAAGGTAAAATTAAACCTCAGGTAGTTTTTCGTGAACGTTTGCATGTCTGATATCTCACATTGTGAAGAAACACATATTTCAAAAAATTGACTCCAAAATAAGATAAATCGAAAAATAGTCGGAATATTCGTCATTTTATGTCCGAAAATAAAATGCTATGTTGCTTCTGCGAAAAGGTTCTGGTTTGAAAATCACAAGCTGTAGACTAACTAGAGCCACGTGCATGTATAATTAAGTGTTACTACAATAATTCACTGCTCTACTGATAAATTTATGAATTTATCTCTCTTTAAGGATCATCAAACGCTTGTTTTGATAAATGTTATGAAGATCTTTTCAGTGTTTTGATGAGTCAATTTTTTAGCTTTTACATATGCATTCAGACTTTGAGAAATTGATTAAAATACCAGGAAATGTGTTACTACAATAGTTCACTGCTTTACTGATAAATTTATGAACTCATCTCTCTTAAAGGATCCTCAAACGCTTGTTTTGAAAAATGAAGATATTTTCAGTGTTTTGATGAATTAATAATATAGCTTTTACATATATATACAGAAGTTTAAAAATTAATTAAAATACCAGGAAATGTGTATGCAGGTTTCCACAACATTTCAACAAAACCATTGTGAATACTTAAGGAGACACGCACATAATACCCACTGTGACAGATTGTTTTAGATTTCATCACAGCACCACTTCTGATGTAGATTTTAAAAAATCCAACCAGAGGTTATATTTTTATGATACCATATCTATTTTAGCTATTATTATTTTTATCTTTTTTTTCTTTTTCTTTTTTTTTTAGTTTGTTTTATTTCAAGCTTATTATCAATAGAATTGTAGATTTTCAGTGTCAGATGATAGACATTTTCTAGAAAAATGTAAAAAAAAAAAAAAAAAAAAAAATAATATTCTAAATTAGCCAAATTCATATGACTGTATAAGAAGCTGCTAATTTTGTACCTTACAAGTTCTCTGCCCTTAAATAAAGGTAGGGTTTATGCACATTTTCATCAAAAGATCTGTATGATTTTATTTTATTATTTTTTTACAATATCTTAATAAAACCTGAGTTGCCCATAGTCGTTCATGTAAAATTCAAGGTGCAATCTATTTGACAATAACCAAAGTTTTGTAAATTCCTTTGGTGGAGTATTTTTATATAATAACACCTTCAAATGCTTTCATGATTAAAAATTTGCGAACAATTTATTTACTACAAAATACAAAATATAGTACAAAGTCGTTATACATTGAATACCTTAATAAATAAAAATAAATTGAATGAAGAATGCTTTAACAAAATGAAACTTTTAATTTCAAAAAAATATTTAATTTAAATAGTCCACTTGAAATAGTTATTTTTTTCCTAATTCCCCTAGATTTTGCACTTGTTTCTTATTTATCATGATTATTGTGTGTATCTGAACATATTTAATATTATTGTTCATGCATCTGGAGATCAAGATTTTGTTATAATGCGTCGTTTATTGTTACTGGACTATTATTTGCGGGATCGGGAAAGAAATTTTAAAAATTCATTATTTTTCTCTTTTAGTGTTGCATGTCCGTATATTGTCCGTATATTGATATATTATACGAAATACTGTTAAAAAGAATGGGATAAAACATTTATTTTTAGACAGAATTTCTGAAACTAGAACAATTTCTGAAACATTAGAAGGAGGTTAAAAGGATAAACTCTAATTCCATGGAAGTTAGAAGACCAATTCATACGATCTAAGGAAAAGGTGCGAGGAAAGCAGTGACATTTGGCGCAAAAAGAGCTATTCACCCCTTTCTTAGAATATATATGGACTGATCCAGTTGTATTGAATTGCAGAAAAAAAAGGATGCACTGACATGTTGGAACGGTGAATCACATGGAATAATCGTTCTATACAAAACGATTCAAGGAAGTAAACACTGCAGTATTTTGCATCAGTCATGTCGTTCTTTTTTCTGAAAACTGTTTCTTTTAAAATGCAGGTAAGGAATTCCAATGTAAATCAGCTTGCACAAAATCTAGCTCTCTAGGTATGATCTATTAATTTCAGATCTTGCAAATATCAATCCTTATACAGCCTGACGTCGTGACGTCAGACAATCATTTCTTTTAACCTTTCATCGTATCTAAAATATGCGCTTTACACAACTGCTCCAATAACCTCCATTTCACATAAAACAACATATTTACATTTGCTAATGTCTTTCCTTATATAACACTGTTAATAAATTTGACATTCAATTTTCAATGACATGCAGTTGGGCAAACCGCACGAGACTATTAGAAAGTCTTGACTGTGATGTCATATGACGCCGTAGTTACCTAATGTTGTATTTCTATAACATATGTCCAAATAGCGCCTATGTTTCCTTGTAACACGAATAAAAGTAAAATATAAATATAAGATATAAGATATCATTTTTTAGAGTTTCATTGGGGTATGACATGAGGTCGGTAAGTGATCAAATCTACTATAACGCCCGAAGGGCGTTATAGAATTTGATCACGTGACCGACTTCATGTCATACCCCAATGAAACTCTAATAATGATGTCTTATTTCTTAAATAACAGTTCCTATTTGTTGATTTAAGTTGCAGTTGGACATAACGCCCAAGTAGGCAGTCTTTGCAGACGATAACTTCATCTCTTCCTTGTGGATGATACAAACAATTTTTTTCTTTGGAAGAGACTTAATATCATGTCACACGTTTAAAAAAGTGGATTATTCTTAAAAATTTTTCTTCTAAGAACTGGAAAATGAAATAGACCTGGAAAACATTAGTTATATTTCAATATAATTACAAATATGGACAAAACACACCCAGTAAAGGTTTACATATGAAAACAATTTTCAGAATATGTTACCTTGGTGCTAAAAGTGTAATTTAAACTTAAGAAGAATATACCAAGCCGGGTGAATTTTATTAAGAAAAGCAAAATGGTAAAAATCAGCCTATGGTTTATTGCTGATTTTTTAGTCAATTTGTATTTCGTCATAAAATTAACCTGGCTTGGTATATTTTTTTAAAGTTTATATAACATTTTTAGCACCAAGGTAACATATTCTGAAATTTGTTTTCACCTGTAAACCTTTACTGAGTGTTATTTGTCTATATTTGTTTCTTTTTATTGAAATATTAGTAATATTTTCCAAATTTATTTAATTTTCCAGTTCTTAGGAGAAAAAATGAAAAGAATTATCCACTTTTCTAAGCTTTTAACATGATATTAAATATATTCCAAAGAAAAAATTTGTTTGTATCATCTGTCCTCAAATTCAAGATTCATGAGGACAAACCATTTCAGTATTACTTTTTGGTCATCTGTCTGTCCAACTGTCACAATTTATCATACTCTTAACATTTTTGATGCGCATTTGTACTGCTAATCACCTGTGTATTTGAAAAAAAAGTCAGGTTTTCATGATTCATATTATTTTCCTAAAGGTAAAACCTGTAAACTCATATTTTGTCTTTCAAATTCAAATTGTAAATGAAGAGAATGTTGTACAGTTGTACAGCAGAAAAATATAATATTGTTACCGTCAAACGTATTGAAATGCAAAATTAATGCATAGCATAAATAAGCTTTTATGTAATGGTTATAAGCCGAAAACTCTCCATTATGTCAGATATGTCAGATATTAGACGACCCGAGGCGCGTTAGCGCCGAGGAGAGTCTAATATCTGACATAATGGTCAGTTTGAGGCTTATAATTACTTAAAACATTTACCACTGTCGAACACTTCTATTGTTAACTTATTGGACAGTCACAGGTAAAGTCTCGTTCTGCTTGGATGACTATACCTGGCACTGTTCATCAAGTTAGGCCAAAGAAAACAAGTTTTGGTTTTTCTTCTGTCTTTATAAATATTAGGAATCATCGAGAGATGTTTTATATCGATGAATATGAACATTAACTTTGTTTAGTCTTATTTATCCGCATTGCGACATTTTTTAATATATACCACGCATGCGTAAAAGTCAGTTCTACTAAATTCTTTACAATCTATTCATTTAACAACGCAACGACCACGGATGATGACGTACGTTTTAATTTTGAAAAAAAAAACCTTCAGAATCGGGTGTTTTGACGATGCCATTTTCCGATTACACCATGATGCCTCAGTTCAAGTTTTCAAACGTGAAATCCGGATATATATTCTTACGTTTCGGAATTTGCAAGAAAGAGTTTCCCGTTAACAGGTAATTTTTGATAAGCAATAGGATTTGAAGGATTTTACTCCAACCACTATTTAAGCATTTTCTATGAAATTGGGAGATTATTTCTGATGTATTTTTAAAAAATAGTTTCTCTTTTGTTTGCAGGTTCCGAACTCGGAAGGATTTTACTCCAGCCACTCCTTAAAACAACAGACAGTCGCTCAAACAACGCGGGACTAGGTGGACAAATGGTCATAAAGTACCGAACGAAATTACAGATTCTGTTGAAATTTCGTGAGCGAAATTATGTGCTAAATGCGGAAAAATTGATATTTAAAAAAAAGCAAAAAGCCCAAGGTTGCATGTAAGAAAACGCTTGCTTCTCATTCATCTTTTGTGTCCCTTGGATTCTATATATGTTCCGTGGATCAATCATTGTGAAATGAATCTTTTATACCGGGTGAATTTAGGAAATTTATGATCGGATCCCTAGATGCGTCTACAATAATGAATCTGAGACATTCGATTCACTGTGGATTATTTGTGCCACTTTCAATAGGATTTTTAGTGAAATTTTAACATTTAAGGCTACTAACTTCCTACATTGTTCATATTAAATTGTTTGATTTGTCATTGCCTTTTAA